ATCAACTGACTAACATCCAAATGACATGGAATAAGGTATATAATTCAAGGTTGTCGGATGATTCGTGCAGAAATGACTGGGCATTTTCTACCGCCGACACGAAGAACACCACGACGCCACAACAAGTGCTCGATGTCAATCACAAAATCTTCAAAAATAAGAAATCGCATGGATATTTAAGGTTGATACTTTGACAGAAGAATAATTATTCGATGGACTAAAACATATCAAACCTCATCTGAAAAATATTGATGCCATTTTCTAAGCTGACGACATGTGTTTGGACTTGAAAACTGCACGTGTACGTGCTTATACTGAACTCTGTACAAAATCTATAACTTATTGTGTATGAAGCATTTTAATTCTTTATTAAAATTTGTTTTGATGATTGTTTAACTTGAAAAACTTACACAAGATCTTACATGATTCAAACGATCAAAATAATTTTCAAAGTTATACGATACTGACAAAACTGCAAAGACTGTACCGTTTCTATGGTTTTATATATATCTTTCAGATATCTTGCATTAAATATTATAGACGCTCTTGAGCGTATTTTTGAGCTAGTTATTTTGGAAAACTGAGAAAGACATGATATCTAAAGAAGTTAATTAGAGTTCAGTTCTGTAAAAAATTATGATGTAATAAATAACTTATATTAACTTTCGATGGGATATGTAAKTGATGTATGGTATATAACATCAACAAATATTTTGAATACGAAAAAGCTAACGGCTTGCTGTGAGTATACATGTATCACTTAGGGCCTACATAAGTGTTAAACATGATCGTAGCCCGACGTCAAAAAATAAAGCCTGTTTATAACGATTTGCGCCTCAAGAGCGGGCTGGCTCCTATTATTTTGTGTTCCCACTGAGAAAGACAAACAAAACAGCCGGCTACACCAAAACAGCTCTTCAGGCTCGCCATCTACAGCTTGTTGATTAAAACGGTTTGGATTTTTAGGTGAAGAACTTTGAAACCTCAATACAARTGACAGTCAAAAGTAAGTAAACAAAATATGAATTTTGAGAATGTCTTTTTTTATCAAATAATGTTTGGCATACGTTTTTGAATTAAATAAAAGACGTTTTTGAATTACAAGAAGAAGCATCTGTTTTGATATTTTTTGTTGATAATCAAAAAAATTCTCGGTCTGTGAGTTGAATTTCCTTCAATTATACTGGCAAAAATAGTATCAATAAATGACGTTTTTACCTTTATGGGGTATTTCCCGTTATCGTTTTCAGAATTAAATGGTTATATTTTCAACCCYGGAGTCAGCTATGTTGTTCGATTCAGATTCTATGATACATTTTAACAAGGACTGCGAATGCCATAATAAATGGTGGAAGTTCCACCTTTTTATATCAAAATCCGTTGCATTGACTCAGACTCCGGATTCAAGAGCATGGATTAATTCCAGGATTCTGGCGGATTCCGTGTCATATTTGGATAAATTTGCTTTTTGGTAGGCGATAGGTAGATACGTTCTCCTATATTTTGTTTTAGAAACTCTACACAATACAGCCATATCTCTTATCGTCATCCTTGGCGTGTGCTCTTACGCAAAAACTGAGCTCTGCGAYCCTCATCAGATTCAGATAAACGCAAGGCTTCGTGGTCATGTCGTTGACACYTCTTCTCTGGCAAGGCATGAATTCTGTTTGGATATGTGTTCTTTGAATCCGAATTGTAACAGCGTCAATTCTAATATAGAACAGAGGATTTGTGAGCTTAACGAGGCGAATCACTTKTCTCATCCTGTAAATATTAGAAATGAAGTTGGTTGGAAATATGAGAACTTTGCCAGGCACCCAGTGATGCATTGCAGCAATGAMCTTTGCGGTAGCAACCAAAAATGTGTCGTGGAAGAGAATGGAAAAATATTCAAATGTATCGCTGTAGATATGAGTGGTAAGCTGACTTCTACCAACAAACCAAGCAACACCGACCAACCGACCGTCCGATCAACCAACCAACCTACCTACCAACCTACCAACAGTGACCAACCAACTACCATCGATCAACCGACGACCGACCGATCAACCAACCAACCTACCTACCAACCTACCAACAGTGACCAACCAACCACCATCGATCAACCGACGACCGACCGATCAACCAACCAACCTACCTACCAACCTACCAACAGTGACCAACCAACTACCATCGATCAACCGACGACCGACCGATCAACCAACCAACCAACCTACCAACAGCGATCAACCGACCAATCAACCAGCCGACCGAACGACCAATTTATCCTTTGCGAGGGCCATAAAGGAACTTTGCAATGCCCATCGAACAAACTTCTAGAAATATTTTACGCCAATTTTGGTAGAACGGAAGGCAAAAAAACACATCGTGTTACTCAAGCTCCGCACTAATCAAATCACAATGTGAAGGAAAGACGTCATGTTTACTTTCTGCAAATAGAGCAGTATACGGCGAGCCGTGCGCAGGTACCTTGAAGTACATTAAAGTCATCTACAATTGCGTTTAAGAAACATGGTTGCTGTTCAAGTTTAKTTATACAGCGACAGTGTTTCTCGTTTGTCTTGGCCTATTTTCCGTTTTTTATTTTCTTTTTTCGTTAAAACCAATCAACGCTAAGCTKGATATGAAAGTCAATATATATATGTCATGCACTGCCTGGCTCTAGAAACAATGACCAYTTTATTTGAAGAGATAGCTTGTGAGGGTGGATATAAAGTTATCCACTGCATAGGTTGTCTATGGATTGACTCGCTCTCGCTCTTCATGTAACGGGTTATGATCAACTGACTGCACGTAGCTTTTTCATTGCATTGCATTGAATTGATCAAAGTGTGTCGCAAGGCATTAGGGGTAAAAGTTCTTTCTTGGTGTTGCTAGGCACCTGATGCATGAATGATGAATGAAGACAACCAAAACAATAGGCAGGAACAATGAATGCACAGTAATACAAAGAAACAAAATATAAGAAATATTTTAATACATATCAAGAAAACCAGCAGTATTTTTASCACACTTGWGTGAATTCTCGCGCGCTGATTGGCTGATTAGAGTGTTTGAAATAAGAGAACATGCACATTGTTCTGCCGCCATCTTGTCTCGCGCGCGCGTTTAGTTGAAAAATATTGATTTGCGTTAACATTTAGAAAATAAGAAATTGCTGCGTTCGTGGGTCGCCACTTGAGCTTTGAACATTATATGACATCTTAAAAGAGTGTGTCAATAAGAGGACATGCAACTGAAGACCATGCGCAATTTGTTAAGTATTGATATACGTACGATCTTCGTGGACCTCATACCCAGTTATTAAATGAAAAGGTTTKAATTTTTTATTTAAATTCTTTATTTGTATGTGATGATTGATTTTGGTATTTGCACTTCTAAAACGCTGAACAAATGTAAAATGGCTATTTCATTTCATTATCTTAGCATCTCTCCAGTGRAAAGTAGCTCATCATTTCTTGTAAGTTAATCCAATCCATGATATAATATTGACAGCTGTGAATCATTTGCTATCACTACAGTTCTGTGGATGGGTTTTCATCTGGATTTTCTTCTTCTTTAGTCTGGCCTTTTGAATCGACCGTCTTCGTTGCTATAAAATCAAGCATGCACAATATGTTAACTTGCCCTCCTCCGCATGCAATTCTCTAATAAAGAAGTTTTACGAGCGGGTGGGATTTCATTGGCGTTCCCAGACTAGCCTAGGCATAGTGTGTGAGATAGAGATGTCTACGGAGGAGGTTAGGCAAGAATTTCTCCTTCATTTTTTCTTCCCCATTCCCCCTCCCCCATCTCCCTTCTTCTTTTGTATATTTGTTCCCAGACTCCCCCAGGCAGAGTGAAAAAGTTGCCTGCGGAGGAGGGCAATGTTAAATGTGTGAAAATTGAACATTACAAAGTAGTATAGTATGTACGGAATTGACGAGCAGAGGGAACAGCAAGTAAGCATAGGAATACATGTAATAAACCCTTTTAACGATCTCTTTTACACTGTGTTAGCCTCAAACTATGTAATAAATTCTTTTATCATATAATTATCTATGAAGTACCTATATTTCTCCATTTCATAAACTTGATATCTTCACTAGTGAAAATAACATGTTATTTTCACTAGTGAAAATAACACATTCGAGGTTTCTCTATATAGTGAAAGTAAGAAAAAAGCTATTTTACGACATAATTTGCTTTCGTATACAATTATATATTATAAATAGAATATTACATGTTCGCTTGGAGATACGAATTTTATCTTCTCGTGTTGAAAATCTCTCACTCGTTCGCTACGCTCACTCGTGAGAGATCTTTTCAACACTCGAAGATAAAATCCGTATCTCCGCGCGCCCATGTAATATCCTCTATTTATTGACTAACACTCCGTGCAAATGCAAGAGATGCGTGAGTATAGAAGACAATGGAACTAATTTGAAATCTCACGAGTTTTATCTACATTTCTGAATATTTTACACACAATTGGGGCTAACACAGCGTAAACGAGATCGCTCAACTATTCTGGAGCAGATATTCGTTGTTCAACTTACCATTTTTAATCAAATCACCACAGACTTTCTTGATGTAGGTCTCATAACGCTCATCAACACTCACAACTTTGTTCACTGCTTTGGGTACTGCTGCTTTGAGTTCTTTCCTCATCTAAATTCCATTAAAACTACATTACAGTCAACTCTCTTGTAAGCGACCACCTCGGGATCAGGAAAAAGTGGTCGTTTACGAGAGATGGTCGCTAACGAGAAAGTTTTTTACAGAGTTTATATGGGAAACTGAACAAAATGGGAAATTTAAAAGGTGGTCGCTTACGGGAGATGGTCGGAGTGGTCGTTCAAAGAGAGTTAACTGTATTACCCACCACCACCTCTTATGTCGAACCCCTTTTTTCTGTGTAATTTTTGCTGGGATGCCTAAACCGTCGGTTGCTTGTCATTTTGCTATATATTTTATAACACAAACTGGCTGGCATAAAACTTTAAACTTCAGTTTCAGGAAAAATGATGGGTCACGTGATCCGCCTTTTTGGCACCTTTCTTGTATAGCTTAGGCCTAGTGTCAACGTTTGGGTATGGTCAGGTTTGTTAACTTAGGGGTAGGGTTAAGATTTATGTTAGGTTTTGCTTCAGCTTAGGGTTAGAATGAAGGCTAGGTTTCAGGTTTTTGTCCTGTGGTAGTCACGTGACTAGCGTCTCCCACCCAAGYTCGACGTCATAGTTGAAATCTGCACTGACACATGAGATTGTCCAACTACCTGAATTGTTTAGTCAGGGCTTCGATTTGTAGATTACCACCCCTAGTACCTTCGGATTCGCATAATTTGGTTGGTAGGATTGTAAGTTAAGATTTTAGATAACCTCCCCCTCTAACATCGCAATGGGCGCTCGGTTTTAACTCAAACTTTGTGAATGAGACAATATTGACATAGCAAAGGTAATGGTGTGGGTTTTAGATCAAATCAGTACTGGTATGTGGAAAATATTTTTTTGATTAAGAAAGGTACTCACATCTTTGGTGAGAGGTTCAAGTTTTTTGGTTAACATCTCAATTAGGACTTGTCGGGTAATTTCAAAGCTTACTTCATCTGGTAAAAGCTTTGCATCGGCATCAAATTTCTGAAATCGAGAATTGATAATAATCATGATAAATACTTAATACCAACAGGTCCAAGACCCTTTAGAACTGTAATACATTACAACCAATCAACCCACTAACTAACCAACCAACCAACCCACTAACCAACTAACCAATTAACCAACTAACCAAACAACTCACTTACCAACCCACCAACCAACTAAACAACCCAATAACTAACTAACCAACCCACTAACCAACCATCCCACTTACCAACCAAACAACCCACTAGCCAACCAACCAACCAAGCAATCATCCAACCAACTAACCAAACAACTCACTTACCAACCCACCAACCAACTAAACAAACAACCAACTAACCAACCAAACAACCCACCAACCAACCATCACACTTACCAACCAAACAACCCACACTAACCAACCAACATACCTACTGAACAACCAACTAACCAACCAACAAAATACCCACTTACAAACCAATCACCCACCAACCAACCTATACGGACCAACCAACTAACCAGCCATCCCACTTACCAACTAAACAAACCACTAGTAAACCAACTAAACCAACCAACCTACAGACCAATCAACTAACTAACCAACCAACCAACCAATCAACCCACCGAACAATCAACCAACTCACCGATCAATCAACAAACCAACCAACTCACCGATCAATCAACAAACCAATCAACTCACCGATCAATCAACAAACCCTTCGACTTAACAGTCAACGAAACCAAGCAATCTGTCATCCTTTTTCTTACCGGCATTATTTGATCCTTACAAGTCGTCATGACCTCGGCCGCGGTTTTACCATTCTTAAGGGCGTCCGTTCCTTTGATAAGTTCTTTGAATAACTCCTCAAACGTGTAGGCAGCTCCATCTATTATCTAAACGTAACGAATAGATTGGAAACATGCTTCTATTGCTCTTTTTCAATCATTCTCATGAGATTCAAAAGATAAAAGACCAGCGGCCATGTTGGAGGGATGAACAACAGATACTAATGAGAAATCCTTTGTTGAAGTTTAACCAAGATGGGCGCTGCATGCGATGTACGTATATTTTAAAGGAAAATAAGCCTGTTTCAAACTCCTAAACTTGCCAAGTGCAATAGTAATGAATAGAAGCAAAAGATTTATCCATACGCCTGTTATCAGTATCTTACTGAGAGAACCTCAAAGCGTCCGGCAGTTTGACTTGGGATKGCAAAATGCAGACACGGTGGGGCGCGCGTCATTTCGGCAAAGGATCTTTAGTTTCTGGTAAATGGCATAAAGTATTTCACTATCATTGTATACCTGTTCAACCATATCTCGTCCATTGTAAAATGCATTTCCTCCATTTTCCACAAGWGGATGGTTCTTAAGGATTTCCCTAACTGGTTCATAGGTGGCAAGCACTTTGCTACGGTGCCGTCCATGATGTTTTGCCTGATCCAGACTTTTGAAATACTACAAAAAGTGAAATTACAATAAAGTTAGAGATTTGACATCTATGTAGTACAGTCAACTCTCGCTATTACGGAGACCCTCGGGACCGTAATTTAGAGTCCGAGTTACTTTACAGTCATTTCTTTGCATTTTTCTCCGGGGATTCGGTATTTTGTGTCCGTAATATCGAGGTGTCCGTTATAGCGGGGTGTCCGTAAGGCGAGAKTTRACTGTAATACGCAATCTACTTCTTGATAAAACGGACAAGTTTGGTACCGTGGTTAAGTGTCCGCAATATCGAGTGATGCCCGTTATTGAGRGGAATTATTTTCAGTCATTTCTTAGGAKCGGGACCATTTAAGTRTYCGTAATAAGYCGGGGTGTCCGTAATATCGAGGTCGGCCTACAACGCAATCAATAGCGGACTGTGATGATAATAGAAATATTGGTRATAGAATGACATCCTAGAAACTACTTACGTCAGGGAGGGATGCTTCAATATCATCGTTATCTTTGGCCTTGTTTGTGACGTATTCAAATACCTTGACAACGTTCTCACGCAGAAGTGGAATACATTTAGCCACCTAACGAGAAAATAACTATTATTTTCATACTTTTTAGTTTTATATAAGTCTTGGTATACAAAGAACAAGGTTATCCTATTCGCCGCCATGTTGGATATATGTACCAAAAGAAAAGTGAACCAAGAATTTATCCAATATGGCGGAAATAGGTTAAGGTACACTACATTGTCGCTAGAGTAAGTCTAGCCAGAGTCTAGCCTCAACCCCAGGTAACTCTTTTTATATCGATCATGATGGACTAGTGTGACGTAACTCCCCTCTCTCGCTACCATTCTCTCTCTTCTGGAAGCAAAAGACAGGAAGCCCATGACTCACTGGAAAAAATCGCGCGCCATAAAGGTTGTAAATTTGATGGAAATATGATGTAAGTGTCCAAAATGATGTAAATTTGATGGAAATCATTTACATCAAATTTACATCATTTTGGACACTTAAATCATATATACATCAAATTTACAACCTTTAAAGCGCGCGATTTTTTCCAGTGACTCTTTATAGTGATGCTGCGGAGGCGGTAGAGTTAGGTGTAGGCTATGTGAGAGTGCAAACACTGAAAGCGTGAAAACGCAATAACCAAAATAGTACCACTTAATAGTGCAATGAAGGCAAAACAAATAGGAATTTGCATATCATGAGTACATATAGCACCATATGATTACTTAAGTGTCATGGTTTTAGTGTTTGCACTTCTTATGCTATCTTTCACAATAAAACTTAGATTTAAAAGATTTATATGTACAAGCTTGTCTTACAACGTCCTTTATCTTGAATACCAACGTATCAATGCCTTTGTTAACATCATCACCAATGACTTCTCCCAGAGTCCCGTCGAGCTTTTCTGCAAGTGGAATATAATTCAAAAATATTCAAAGATAAATGATAATATATCTTGTTTTACAATAAATAGACTGAAATTCGAGCTTAGATATATCGTCCAAATAGAGGTGCGAATGCTGACGGCACAACTAAAAGGCAATTAATTGCATTGATACAAGTATACATCTTGTAACATCTCGCATTATTCTCAAACTTAGTAACTTACTGATTTTATAATTATAATTATGCTGCGGGGATCATGGGTTTTCAATAAATGATCCGATGGTTTAGTCGTTATCCTCGAAAATAAAATGTCTATTTAMAAGAACTTTATCAAGGGTATCGTCAAGGGCGTGGTWCCAGGGATTCCGGATCCCCACTTTCCCTGGCAGACATAGTCTTTGAAATTATGAGCCTTCATTTGCCGAATCAATTAATAGGGTAACACATTTTTGGATAGTCCAACACTTCAATAGCCTTCTTTAGTCTTCAAAACGATAAAGCTTGAAGATCTTTGAACATCTCCTCATGAAATCCCTGCACAAGCACCCTGTTATCACATGAGATGAGTTCTGTTTACTAACATGGTGGGAACTAGCGGTAAACTAGTGTGAGCTGCGTCGGTGTTTCTAAAGAAGACGAAGGATTAACATCCGAAACGTCAGTAAGTTTTTCCACATACTTTTTTACGGTGTTTAATTTATCTTTTTACATAACTGTTTACTAACATACCACTGAGCTGAGAAGTGATCTTGTTCTGAGCATCAATGATGTCATCTTTCTTTTCCATGATTATGTCTTCTAATGGGGTTTTCATCTTTGACGTTGTCTCGACTTGTCCCTTGTAGGAGGGAATCACCATCGCCATCACCAACGAATCAAGGCTTTTTATGATCTGATGAATTGAGTAGTATATATATTATTAAAACCGCCATATTCCCATGCGCCTTTGCGCACCTTTACTTGCCCCAGTCCTCGACTTGTTTTTCTTAATCATTTCAAATACATGACTACACTACATAACATTTACCTGTTCACGTACTTTCCTTCTAACGGCGTACCCACCAGGCATTGAATACAAACTGCTGTAAACCTCCGACATTACACGCGCGTCGATTGCACCAACAATCGTGTCACTCAGGATCTGTAAATGATATACTATATTGTAGCCATAGTCATACAATGGAATCCCGCATTACGGGCACCCGCCTAATACGGCCACTTTGATAAGGCTGGATTTTTATGTTCCGGTGATTTAAACCTTCTTAAATTTCGGCCTGGTTAAAACGGCCACTCCATTAATAGCCCATATCTTTCGATGCCCCCTTGTTGGCCGGATTAACAGGGTTCCACTAAAGATTGACTTTAGTTTCGGTTTACCAAACAACGAAATTTGAAATTAAAGATCGTACCTGCTCCTCGGTCCCACTATAATAGTTGGCGTAGTAGTACCCGCATTCCCGACGAGCTTGGTAGAAACCGTCTTTAAAGGCAACTCGTGCAATTGGGTCCGGATTTTTTAATCCTGTATGAATCAAAGCGGTGTGAAAGGAAGAGGGTAAAACATCATCACTTTTACCCAATGAAAAACAGTTGCGGTGAAATGATAAATAGGTCATATGCAGCGACGCCATTTTGAGCAGCAAAGTGCATGGGAGTTAATAATAACTTTATTAGTCAAGGTGAACACCGTTACCGTAAAACGATAATTTTCAGGTGGCCCTCATGTGAATAAATAATATATATATAAAATTATGTTTAAAAGACATTAAGTTAAAAAGGCTATGTATATTATCACTATTTACAGAGAATAAAATAGAGAGAGTATAGTCGTCGCTCTTTTTAAAGCCTCTAAAAACCTTAAAACCGTTCTAGATATTTTCTTTCTAGAAACGGCGCARCAACTTCAATTTTTGTATAAAGCTTGAGAGTTGGACGTGAAAAAATGGGAGGACTACAATCTATACCATCATGCTTTTTTGCACAAAATGGCGTCGCCTTGCCTATCATATACACCTCATTGAGGGACCATTTCCAAAGCACAAACTAGCTCAGTTTCTACCTTTTTATGGAGTCTAATTCGTCATCAAAGGGATCTACAAAATTGATCTTACCGTTGCATCGATAACAGCAGTCCTTAATGACCTTGATCCATTCCTTCTTCTCTTCATCGTTATCAGCAGTAATGTAGTATGGCCGACGCCTGTCATGGTACAATTCAAAGGTATGTTCTGGGTATTTGACCGGTGCTGGTACATCGTTCTCATCGGCTCCTGACGAAAATATAACGATAGCATTAACGATATGATATTAGATAATCATTAATATAACAATAGAAACATAGGAAACCACTGAGGAAAGAGTGGGAATATTTAACAATTAGGCCACGACATCGAGTATACTACGAGTTGATAGTTTGATGACGTCGACTTTCTTTCGACTCTTTTCACCTCACCCGATTTTACAATGGTATGACATAATATACCATAATTCAGTAGCCAATCAGAAATTTGTAATATCTTCAATATTTTCCAATTTAAGAGTAGCACTTGTATAACAATTTATAATTTGCAATTCCTATAGATTCTTCCGTATGACTGTGAAACGGCACAGATCCCGCATTTCAACACACGGCACGGAATCTCCCCTCGTTGTTGTAGTTACTAGTCTCCTCTCAAGGCCGCTACTTTGGCTCGTTCCCATATCTCTTCATTGAGGAGTACGAGGTACCAASGCCATGAAAAATAATGATGAGGGCGTGACTACTGCAAAGTAAAGCCACACTGACACGCGAATCTGTTCTAAAAACGTGTAAAACTAAAACTGTATTGGGCTACAATGGAACAACCAAAGCCGTATTGTATTGTGAAATGTTTTACCTAGTTTCTTGGCGACAGCCTTAAGTCGCTGTAAAATGCAAGCATCCACATCTTCTTCAACACGATATCCAGCTGGTATGATTGACCCTTTTGATTTAAARCCCTTCTCGTAGGCCTAAACAACAAATATCAGTTRATCAAACACTCAATTGAAGCGCGTTAATTGTGTTAAAGGCCCATGGTTAACCGGCATCCCTTTCCGGAGCTTCTGCATATGTTTGAAAATTACTAAAAAAGAAAAATGGACTATATAGAAAAATGGACTAAATGGAGATATTGTAAGATTAAAAAAACAAAAAACAAAAAAACAAGGAAATTCGAATTAATATTTGAAGTCACTTATCATGCTTCCRTATTTGTAAAATAGGCAGTTGAGGACTGCATGTGACTCAGGCCATTTTAATTTTAATCTCTTAAAAGAGATTTAGTAAACTTCGAATACACAATCTTCAGTATACAACGTTTTATGGATCATCTGTATACGCTGCCAGGAACTGGAAGCATCACGTGGCGATCAACCATACGTTGCCTATGAATACACAACAGGCGGCGATTCCCAGGGGCCAAGGAACCTATTGTGATGGTTGATCGTTCCTCCCGTGGGGCCTGACGCGGGGCGCCCTGTTTCTCTACCTACAGTAAACATCATCCGTCTGAAAGATTCGGAAAAGGTCCTTACAGCTTTAATTTAGCTGTAATCAAAGACATCTTTCTGTATCTGTTGACTTATAAAATCATGATTAATTCTCGAACGTTTTCTCCGATAAAATGTTTTTAGTATCTAAACTGTTTTTTTACATCCATGTTTTAAAATTAGTATTATTCGCCTGATTATAGTTTTGTAATAAAACTTACGGATTATTATCAATCATTGTTAACATTCACTATATTTATATTCAATAATGTGTAAACTTTTATATCATCAAGAAAGAAAATGTGGAACGTTCTAGAGGTCTTTAATTGTGTTCCGTTGAATATCCAGCAAATATCTGCCTGGTTTAGTAAACCGCTTACGTTAAGAATGTCAAGAGATTTGTGCCATGATGTTTCTCCGAATAATAACAATAATATCTGTCTGATTTAAGAACTGTAGCGATGATTTGGAAAACAAGAACGACAATTGAACAGTTTGGGGAAAGCCGTCATATTACATCGAACAGCGGTGTTCGGCCGCAAACCAGCACTCAGCACCCATCCCCACTCCCATCAACTAATAAATCCACTGAAGTATGATTATCCAAAGCCTGTATCGTTTGCTAATTCCCGAGCTGAGCACCNGACGGAGTTGGAGGAGTCTATAATTGTACCACATGCTGCACAGAAAACTGAGAAGAAGGTGAGAAGATTAACTACAACAATGACTACTACACATGCAGCAGCAACAACAAAAGCAACAACAAAAATAGTAGTAACAACAGCAGCACCACCACCACCAACAACAACAAAAATAGCATCAGCGGCAACAACAACAGCAGCATTAGCAAAAACAACAACAACAATAACAGCAACATTTACTTACAACATCAGCAACAACAACAGCATAAGCAGCAACTACAACAACAAAAACAAAAATAGCATCATCATCAACAACAGCAACAACAACAGCATGAACAGCAACAACAACACCATCATCATCAACAACAACAACAACGACAACAACAGCATCATCAGCAACAGCAACAACAACACCAGAATCATCATCATCATCAACAACAACAACAGCAACAGAAACGACAACAGCATCAACAGCTACAATAAAAACAACAACAACAGCGTTTTAACTCAATAGTAACGGTTTTTAAATTTAATGTTTTTAATGTTTTCAGTATTCTTTCGAGAGCTTGTTCCGTAGCATGCACTACGCTTTGTTAGACAACTGTTGTCGCGAGTACGTGTTTTTGGCAGACTTTTTCATGGTTCAAGGCCATCAAGCAAAGGATCTCTTCACACAAGTACTGGGGAAAACTCTGTCGTTATTTCTGGTGCGTTAGATGTGATTTAAATAATGCATGTAGAAAAGCATGTATTGGATTAGGCTTCAGACACACTCCAACGACCATGTTATATTCCAGATAGACCCTAAAACTGGAGTACCCAACAGAAATCAACCAATGTTGATGTCAGTGCATGTACATGGGATAGCTCGTGAACAACCGACATGTTAACACACCCCTTACTTCGAGAGTTGTTCTGGTCCTTATTCCTCGTGTACAACCACATGATCAGGAATTCCCCTGAGAAACAACGCACAAAGCCATCACCGCCATGTTGGATGAATGAACAAGACAAACTAATGAGGAATGCTTTGTGATATTCATCCACCATGGCGCTGATGACGTAACTTCCACGGCAAAAAGTTACCATTAAATGCCATTGGCAATATTTACCGATTTTTCTAGTTTTTTATATACTTACTTTCTATTGGGTCGATGAATCATTATTCAATCAATCTACGTCACAGGCCCTTCTTCTTTGTACGCGTTTCCAAAATGCAGGAAATAGAGTGGGAACGAGTCATTGATTTGTTTGTTCATTGTTTTCTTTTCTTCTTTCAGAAACAAATGGATACGTACATTGAAAGCTGCTATGATGCCATCGGTTTGTTCCTATGTATTCATATTATCCATCGATACAGGATTTTAATGCACAAGAGAAGTGTTCCAGCCCTGGACAAGTGAGAATTCACCATTAGAATAGTAAAGGGTAGGGGAGGGAGGGAGGGGGACTTTTTGCTTTATGCTTTTTTCGTCTTTTATATTATGCACGTTGTACGTTTTTTGCTCTTCAAGGTTGACTGAGTTGTTTTTTTTTTTGTTACTTTCTATATTTCAACGCAGATACTGGGACACTTTACTCGAGATGTTTTGGCCTCGTTTTACAAATATTGTAGAGATGAACATAGACAGCGTACAAAGCACAGATCCACAGAAACTAGGGACTATTGACATCCGGCCTCACTACGTAAGCAATGCTTTTGATGTCAATTTAGTCACTCTTTCACTCACATTCTTGTGAACTTTTTACTTTGAGCAGATCACAAGACGATATGCGGAGTTCTCTGCTGCCATTGTGAGYCTCAATGAAAGTTTTCCRGAAGAAAGGGTAAACCAATTCAATTCTTAAGTTGACAGTTGTATTTGGCTGATTGGAATGGTATCATTTATGACTCTATCATTAATCTTAGATGTGCAAACTTACACGTTCAGCATTTAAGGCAGAAAATGTATTTGAACATAGTTAATAAAGGGGAATGGTTTGGAAACCTTTTGGTTGTACTTCTTTTGTACATCATTTTCGAGTATTTTGAGGTTGAATAAGTCAAGACCGTGCGCACAACTTTTTTCTTACGGCCGATTGAAAGTGTAAAATGAATGAACATAAATACTCTCTATGAGATTATGAAATGAAATATTATTCAATATTGGTTAAAATGTTTTGTGCATTATGAAGAAATAGTCAAAAAAATAAATTTCACTATGTTCATTTTTAAAGTGGTGGCTAAAACATTAGTTAAACAAAAGATTGTGCACTGTCACGCTTGAAAAAAAGGACACCAGAACTTACAACAAAAGGCTTCCTAACCATTTTCCTCCTCTACAATTATGATTTGAAGTATTAAGTGGTCGCTTACAAGAGATGGTCGTTTACGAGAGAGGTTTTTTTACAAAGTTTATATGGGAAACTGAGCAAAACGGGAAATTTAAAATGTGGTCGCTTACGGTAGATGGTCGCTTACGAGAGTGGTCGTTCAAAGAGAGTCAACTGTATTTCATTTTGTGTTCGGTAACTGAAAAAAACGTTCCCCAAAGTTGTTAATTAATATCTTTCTGTTTTCATTCCTTGGCAGGTGAACAAGGTCTTAGCTTCACTACAAAATGAAGTGGAAAACTTCATCCTCAAGATGGCTGCCGAATTCCCACCTCGTAAAGACCAACTGATATTTCTGATTAACAACTACGACATGATGTTAGCTGTCTTAATGGTTTGTACTCACAAACATAGTCTTAGTAAAGTGAAAAATACAGATGAAACAATAAGAAAAAAAGTGYGCACCCCCACCCCCACCGTCAACTCTGTGGTCCCCGAGAAAGTGGCTTCGACCACTGCGATTATTTGCGTATTTCTTTTCATGTTTTGAAATTTATAATAACTTGATAATAACAACTTACTTGAGTAACATATTGCACTACACATCGAAGTATTGTTCTTAAAATTACTGAATGCGGAGTGGATGTAAAAGAGTCAATATTCTTGTTCACCTCCTACTGATATATATTCCTACTTCTGTACCGGTGCATGCCGGTTAGTTTTGGGTCTTTAAACCTAATAGTCAAATTGTACCACCCCTTTTATCTTATATCTGTTTTTCTATCTCTATATCTCTCCAGGAGCGAACATCAGAAGACTCGAAAGAAGTTGAAGGGTTTCAACAGCTMCTCACKGCGCGAATAGGAGAGTTTGTTGAGGAGGTAATGTAGTGTTGTCGCGTCATCCCCCTGTCCCTGCGATCCCTGTGATAAAGGGAAGGGGGGTTTCGTTGTGACCTCGACAATTTTCAGGTGATGTGGTAATTTGAATGTTATAGGTTCTTTCTCCTGCTTTTGGTGGCATGATAGCTTTCGTGAAAGAATCTGAGCCACTTCTTGAGAGAGGACAAGGGCAAGTTATTCGACCAGATGAACGTAAGTCTTCTTAACACGATGTACTAGAATCGCCGCCACTACCCCCCTAGCGTTCCCATCGAGTTCAGAAGGTGACGTTGAAACAAACACTACACGTCACTTACAAGACAACAGTGACTTTTCTTTTTCATTCCAGGAAGAATCCAGCAACTGGTTCGCGGTTTTGCCGCTGACTGGAAAAAGTCCATCGAGAATATCAACCAAGAAATAATGCGCTCTTTTTCAAATTTCAAAAACGGCACAACAATTTTACAGGTAACTAACAGATTCAACACATCTTCATCGTGCAAAATTATATCTTATTGCTTAAGTTTCAACCGAGATGGAATACCAGTGATAATTAACAACGCGCTTCTACAATTATTTTCTGAGCGTGGGAAGGGGTGGGGTCAGAGCAGTAATTTATTTTTAGGGGGGAGGGGTGTACTTTTTTTGGCTCATTTCTCAACCCCGCAGTCCCTTATTCTAATTGTCTTTAACTTCTATTTTCAGGCTGCTCTTACACAATTAATCCAGTATTATCATCGTTTTCAAAAGATCCTGTCCCAGCACCCSTACAAGCGACTACCAATACGAAGCGAGCTCATTAACATTCATCACGTGATGGTCGAAGTCAAAAAACACAAAACAACATTTTAAACCAATTGAAACTTAATGCTACTTCGACCCCACTTCAAATCAACCTAACGAATTAGTTACTTAAATATCAAGTCTCATATAAAATCTACTAAACCGTTTACAAACTTCTACAAATTAGCTAGAGTACAAACATTAAATGTATGCAACACTTTCCACTATTTAGAGTGTTTTTGATAAACTCGTGAAACAAAGTGTAATAATTAGAGTGTAATAGATCGTAATAGTCGCGTAGAGACAATAAAAAACAAAAGAGCCAAAGTGTAATAGCGATAAATACGCAAACGTGTTTCACGGGTTAGAGTGGTTTTCATTAACCCGTGAAATACACTTTAGCGCATTACACTTTATTACACTTTGTATCTTTTGTTCTCTATTATATTTCTTGGCTATTACACTTTATTACACTTTGACTATTACACTTTGTTTCACGGGTTAATGAGAACCACTCTAATGAAAACCACTCTAGTCAAACAATAGAAAACAATAGAATTAGCATAATTTAGCAGTATTTAGTGGTATTTATGTTGCACAGATTAAGTGTTTGTACTAACTCCTTCCATTAGTAATCAAAGCTATTTAGTAGTTAAA